GAGGTCCGCGCGGATCTCTCGGATCGGCGTTGGAGCCCCCTGGCGGCGCCTTCGGCGCCGCCCTTGGCGCTCAGCGCGCCAGGGAGAGGGGTCAGCGCGGACCTTCGGAAGTTTATGTATGTCACGATCGGTTCTCCGAGAGGAGCTCACCTCGGCCACCCCCGAGCAGTGTGAAGCCCTGTGGCGCGCGTTCGGCTACTCCGAGGACCGCGTGGACTGCACGTCTCTCTGCTACACAGTCGTGGGCTTCCTCAGCCAGAGTGGCGAGATGCCGGCGCAGAGCGACACCGCCTGCTACGAGGTGGACGGCCAGGACTCTGGGAAGAAGCAACGACAGAAACAGACACGTTCGTAGGACCGCATGGATTTCTTGGATCGGCGCTGAACCACCCTGGCGCGCGGAGCGCGCCAGTAGAAGCCTCCAGGGGGTTCCAGCGCCAATCCAAGACATCCGCGCGGACCTCCGTGCTGTTATGTTTACTGTCGGACCGAGGTATGAGATCGAGGTCGGTTCGGGGAGGTACCCGGGGGTTCTTGTGCTTGTTGGAAGTTTTCGCGTCTTCTGGGGAGGGTACCCATGGATATTCTGTTTGTTTTGGCCGACTGAGGGTGTCATGCTCTTGATAAGAGTGATTCTGGCCTAGGTCCGACTGTATGTAATTATTTTTGGCGTCACCCCAACATACCAATAACACGCGTGCGTCGCCCCCCCCATGGGCGACCTGCGCACCGAGAAATCTTCTAGTCTATGCGCCGTGGCGGCCGCTTTCTGGCCACAACGCCCGGGAAACGATGCACTACAACATGGATATGCTACATGCTCGCATCGGACGCGCGCCTCCAAGGAGGATAGTATCAGTATGTCTCCGTGCGCCCCACCGATTGCTTCGAAGAAGAAAAACGCCACAAACATAAACTTCGACGGTCCGCGCAGACTTCTTGGATCCGCGCTGGGCCCCCTGGCGGCGCCTCCAGTGCCGCCCCTGGTGCGCTCCGCGCGCCAGGGAGGAGGGTCTGGCGCAGATCCAAGCAGTCCGCGCGGACAGTCGAAAGCTTGTGTTTGCGTTGTTGTTTTCTTCCTCTGTTGTTTCTCCGAGGACGGCAACATCCGGTGCGACATGGACATCGGCCAGGGAGCGGGTGCCGGAGAGGGCGGCCCAGACGGCAGCGACGGCGGGGGCGAGGGAGACGGCCGCCCCCATGGGCCGCACGAGCACGGCCACAAGAACACGCACACCGACGGCCACGACCTGGCCATCGACTACGACACGCACGAGCTGTCACTCAAGGTCAGACAAGCGCGCTCCACTGCTCGCACACCCAGACATCGGGCGTCTCGAAAAAATGGAGACGGAGGTTTTTCCTAGCTTTCGGCCTCTCGGGGCCTTCACCGGGCCTCGGGACTGTCAAACAGCGACTCGGGATGAAGAACCAGCCCCGTGGAAGTGTTCGGGAGGTCGGGGGAGCGAAGCTCGGACAAATCGTGACGTCGGATGTCTAGACAAGTAACTACTCGCGAATGGCCCAGATCCATCACACATGGGAAGACTTGCGTTTGTTTGTTTTTGTTGCTGACGTTTGCGAGCAGGCAAGTTGCGGGCAGCGGAACTCGATCGGTGAGAGGTGGCGAATTTGTTCCGCATCTTCCCGGCCCCAAACCCGTCATTCGGCGTGAGGCGGTCTGCTGCTGGGGGCGAGGAGGCGGGCGCCGTCGCGAGGAGGCTGCCCGCCAGCGAGAGCTTCGAGACCGCCGTGGCGGAGGCCTCCGCGGGGGCGATCGCGGACATCGCGCACGCCATCCGGCACGTCCGGGACCCGCGCACGGAGAAGTACATGGTCAAGTGGTTCGGCCCGAATTCGCCCAAGCATCCCTTCACCAGGAAGCGAGGCCTCCTGAGTGGGGTCCGAGCAGCTGGGGTCGGAGGATCGCGCCGAAGTCGCCGATGCATTGGCGATGCGGCTCGAGGTGGAGCCCGTTTCTCTCCACGACGATTGCGCCGATGCACCGGCGATGTATCGCCGATGCATCGCCGATGCATCGCCGATGCGGCGCGATCCTCTGACCCTATCTACTCGGACCCACTCTAGGAGGCCTCTAAGGAAGGAGATCCTCCGCATCCTCAATTCCGTCACGCACGTGCTGGCGAATGCGAACTACATCCACGATCATTCGCCCGATGGCTGCGATGAGGACACATACGCGTTTGTCATGCCTGACCCCGATCGTGATGCGAGGGATGAGAACGGAAAGTTCAAGGTGTTTTTGTGCGATTTGTTCATGGCGAAAAAGAAGGAAAGGCGTGAGACACTCACTCACGAGGCCTCGCACCATGGGACAGCTTTCACCGACGACGTGTGTGCGAAATCTGTCATGCATTACCACAAATCGAAACGGAACCTGAAAGTACTCAAAGTCAAGTCTGAACTAGATGACCCCGACGTCGGGTACGGTGACGAAGTACCGGTTCACTGGGATGGGAAAGTGTGGGATGCCACCGTGTTGCAGATCCGCGACCACGACGAAGTGGTTCTGAACGTGGAGCCCGAAGAGGAGTGTGAGGAGCTGGCGTATGGGCGCAGCGAGTGCATGTCGTTGGCAAGGAAGGCGCCCCTCAAGGCCCTCCGGAACGCGGACAGCTTCTGTTTCTTCATCCAGGACTTGGCCACCAATGTCGACTAGGCCGTGGCCCCCTCCTGCCCGCGTGCGTGCTGGGCACGCTCCAGGCTGGCTTCCTCTCGCGGGCTGTGCGCCTCAGATGCTCCCGCGGCGCTGGTCCTGCACCGCGCCTCTTATTACATCTCGGCGGCCAGCGAGCGGGGGAAACGAGAAGCGGGAGGCCTTCTCAGGAGTTGGCGCGGCTTCTCAGAAGGCCCCGGGCCTTCTGAGAAGAGGTTTTTGTTTCCTGTGTCTTCGGGGGAGGTTCAGTGCCTCACAGCAACAGTTGTCCAAAACCGACAGTGGCCGCTGTTGCGCAGGGGGCTTCTTGTCTTCAGTGAACAACGCCCGCGGCGGCGCGGAAAGTAGCTCCTATTCAAAATGAACAGGAACTGCTCTTGGGCGTCGGATCCATAAGTCGAAGAAGAAACACGTCATTTGACGGCGCGCAGAGGGGGGTAGGGGGAGGGGGAAAGGCTTCTTAGAAGGAGGCTGCTTCTTAGAAGGCGACGGCCTTACATTTTTAGACAAGGCCCGCGCCTTCTGAGAAGCAGGGGTGCTTCTAAGAAGCCTTCCCCCCTCCCCATACCCCCCTGTGCGCGCCGCCAAGTCATAGACATCACCGTTTGGTGCTCCGCGCGGATTTCTTCGATCCGCGGTGGGCCCCCCCTGGTGGCGCCTCCAGCGCGCCAGGGCGGTCCAGCGCGGATCCGAGGAATCCGCGCGAACCTAAGAGTTTTTACGTTTGTGCCATTCTTCGTTCCCCTGATTATCTCCGTACCCATTTCGATCGTACCGATGGGAAGGCCCCCCCCCTCCGACTTCCCTCCCCAGGGCTCGCCGCCGAGCAGACATGGCCCGGAGGTGCGCTTTTTGCGCGGCGAAGGCCGACGCCCGCCCTCCCGAGCCCCGAGGCGCGCGGACCGTGTATGCGACCGCAGTGCTCCGCTCAGAAAACGGGCCTGGCGGTGCTGGGACGAGGCGGGCGCCCTTGCTGACCCAGAGAAGCTTGCTCAGAGAAGAAGAAGATACCCATACCTCTACCCTCCGCCCGTTTCCTCTTTTCTTGAGCTTCCTGGGAGGCCCTCGTCGTTGCCGTTGGATGTGCTTCGAATTGCTGGTCCGAACGCACCCTGGGAGGGGTCCGGGGAGTAGCAGGATCGGTACCATTTGGTCTCCCCAGAGGCGGGCTTTCTGGCTGACCAAGGGAAGCCTTCGGCGCTTAGTCGCTCTTCCTGGCTGACCACCAGCCTTGCGGGCGTCGCCCCGCGGCCCCGCCGCGTGGCGCAGCGCGCAATGGGCCAGGACTCTGTGGACCCTGGAAGCGACAGGGCAATGTTTTTTACCGGTTCCGTTTTGCCGTGCCGTTGCCAGTTCCGTCGCCGTTTTTGTAGTTGTTTTCGTCGCCGTTCTTTTTGTTCTGGTTTGGTTCCAATCCCGGAGCCGTTTTTTTTGTTGCGATTTCCGGTCGCCGTTTTTTTTTACCGCTTCTATTTTCTCAAGAGACATTGTTTCGAAGTCGGTGAAAAGAACGGCTCCGCCGTTTCCGGGGCCCGCAAAAGGGCATTCCAGAACACATTCAGAGCGTTCCGGAACGTTCTGCTCCAGAGCCGCTGGATCTCAGAGATTCTCGATCTCAATTTCTCCTCACCCGAGTTTGTCCTCGTCCTGGCTTCGTCTTACGTCTTACTTGTCCAGACGAGAAGCCAACACAGAAGGGTTGGGGAAAAACATTTCCCTGGCCCCAGAACCCTTCCAAGCCCAGGCGTCTTCTGCGTAAAAGCCGCCCTGACCCCGAAATCATTCCCAGCCCAAGCGCATTCTGTTTAACGCTGTTTCCAGCTCATCCGTTTTCTGTATCGAATCACTGCCAATCCTGAACTCCCTGCCAGCCCCGTTATTGAATCAAAATGCTGACAAAATTCTCGTTCAGCCAAAGCGTTGTCTTTGTGAAAGTATTCCTAGCTCCAAAGACCGCCCCAGCCCAATCATCATCTGCTTAAAACAAATCCGAGCTCTAAATCCTTCCCAATCCGAGCGTTTTCTTGAAACACTCCTTCCTGACCAAAATCTTTACAAGCCCAATCGTCTTCTGTTTGAATCCTCCTTGGCCCCAGAATGTCTGCCATGCCATGCGCCATCTGTTTCGAACCCGTCCTGGGTCCAGAATCTCTGTTAGCCCATGCGTTTCCTTTGTGAAGTCCCTGCCCCAGCCCAGCCCCAGCCCCAGCTCAGCCCAGGCGCTTTCTGTGCACAACCATCCCTAGCTACAAAATCCTTCCCAGCCCAAGCGCTTTCTTTTCAAGATTTCTCCGAACACCAGGAAGCTCCTCAGAACATACGACCTTGCCCAAACAATTTTCTCTGACCAAGCGTTTTCTTTATAAAGTTATTTATATTGCCGAAATGCTTACTAGCCCAATCGTTCCTGTTGAAATAATCCTTTCTAGCGCCAAAGTCATTCCCGGCCCAGGCGGATTGTGTTTGATTTCCTTTTTATCGGGGCTCCAGAGACGGGGGTCAATGCAAACGGGGGTCAGCCAGGGTACCGGATCCTGCAGGATCCTGCGAAGACCCCCTCTGGCTGACCCGGGTTAGCGAGCCGCTCGTGGCCGCGAGGCGGCCGCGCATATTGGCTGACCGGGTTTGCGAAGACCTGCGTTGCAGGTTTTTGTTCCTGCATTGCAGTTTTTGGTTTCCAGCTCACCCGGGTCTGGATTGACCCGGGTCAGAAGATCCCCAATTTTTAGCCCCAGAATTCTTCCCAGCCCAGGCGCATTCTATTTGAAGGTCCTTGCCAGTTCAAAATTGATCCCCAGCCTCGGCGGCTTCTGATCAAAACCTTTCCTATCACATAAATTTCCTCCAGGCAAATTATTCAAAGTGATTTCTAGCTCCGATATCCGCCCCAGCGCAGGCGTGTTCAGTTAACAATCTTTCCCAGCCCCAAAATCATCCACAGGCCTTGCGTCTTCTGTGTAGTGGCCCCAAAGACCTTCCCAGCCTCGGCGCGCTCCTTGTGAATCCGATATCATCCTACATCCCTTTCCAGCCCAGGCGCTTCCTTTCGTTAAACCCTTCATAGCCCCAACATCCTTCCCCACCCACTAATAGTTCTGTTTCAAAACCTGCCTGACGTGAAAGGCCTTCCCAACCCATGCGGTTTCGTTGTAAACTCCTTCCTGGATGAAAAGTATTCCCAGTCCAAGTGTTTTTTTCTCATGCTTGTATATTTCCTAGCCTCAAAATCCTTCCCAACCCAGGCGCTGTCTGTTTCAAATCTTGTTCACCCCCACATTCCTTCCCAGCCCATGCGTTCTATGTTTGACATCCTTCCTAATTAGGTACACAATCCTTCCCAGCCCAGGGTTGCGTGTTTCCAATTTCTGTCGAACCTACATATCTTCCCAGGTTCAGGCGGGTTCTGTGTGAATTCCTTTCCAGCTCAAGAATCCTCCCCAGTCCTTTCGTCTTCAGTATGAAAACCTTCGTAGCCCCCTAGCCCAAGCGTCTTCGGTTTAACATCTTTTCCAGTCCGAAAATCCGTCCCAGCCCGAGTGCTTTCTGTGTGAAGTCCTTCCGAGACCCAAATTCATTCCTTGCCCAAACGCGCTTCAAAGTAATCTTGCATCGCCCATAAATCTTTTCCCAGCCCCAGCGACTGCTGTTTGAAGCCCTTCTAAAGCCCAAGACAACTCTCAGCTCAGGCGCTTCTTGTTTCAAAACTTTCGTAATGGCCCATCCATCCTTTCCAGCTAGAAATCTATGTGTGGTGCAGCGCTCGCAGTGCAGTGACAGCAGTCATTGCTCGGTGGAATATTTGCCCAGCGCAAAGTGTATAGTAAGAATCGCGTTAAATGAGCGCAAGCTGGAACGGAGGAGGACCATTGAGGAGGAGGATGAGGAGGAGGAGGAAGAACAGGGAGAGGCGTGCTTCACGATCCCGCACCAATACGAGCTACACGCTGGGAACTGTGCTTTAAAAACATGTGGCGATGCGATGAGAACACGCTGCAGTTCGGGAAGGGGGAGGAGGACGAGGAGGACGAGGAGGAGGAGCAGGAGGAGGAAGAGGAGGAAGAGGATGCGGGAGGAGTCGGACGTGGAGACTCACCCGATGCTTCAGGTGGGCAGACGTTGGAGAAATAATGAGGCGGGTGAGGGATGTTGACGACGAAGGGCAGCGGAAGGAGGTATCAAGGTGAGGAGGAGAACAGAAGGGCAGTGAGAGAGGAGGAGGAGGAGGAGAGGAGGAGGAGGGAGGAGGAGGAGGAGGACGAGGAGGACCAACAACAGAGAGGGGAGGAGAAAGGGAGGAGAAGGACGAGCTCGGGAGGTGCACGAGTGGCAGCAAGAGTTCACGGGGACGTGCAGCAGATGGGCGGCGAGGGCGACGAGAGTGAGCCAGGAGGGGAGAGGGAGGAAGCGGCGGCAGAGTCGGGGAGGAGCCCCCCCCCCCCCGACGTTGCCCCTCACCTCCTCCCCCTGCTCCCCCTCCTCTCCTCCTCCCCCTCCCCTCCCCCCTCCTCCCCCCTTCTCCTCCCTCCTCCTCCTCCTCCTCCTCCTCCTCCTCTCCTCCTCCTCCTCCTCCTCCTCCTCCTCCTCCTCCTCCTCCTCCTCCTCCTCCTCCTCCTCCCCTCCTCCTCCTCCTCCTCCTCCTCCTCCTCCTCCTCCTCCTCCTCCTCCTCCTCCTCCTCCTCCTCCTCCTCCTCCTCTCCTCCTCCTCCTCCTCCTCCTCCTCCTCCTCCTCCTCCTCCTCCTCCTCCTCCCTCCCTGAGGAGGCGGCAGGCGGGAGAGGGCGAGAGAGGCGGGTCCGACGTGGCGGAGGCGCTGCCGCGCGCGACCCCATCGAGCCGCCCCACCCAGCGGGGCGCGCGCGGCGCCGCTGGCGCCCGGCGCCGCTGGCGCGCGGCTCGCCTCATGCGCGTGCTCCCCGCGTGCGGCGCGGCCACCGCCTTCGGCGCGGAGGACCCGTGGGCTGCCCTTCTGTCGGGCGTGTCCCCCTACAGGGGAATGTTCGACGA